CCTTCTGATAAAAGGGAGCACATTCTTGATTGTCAAGAATGTGGTGAACCATGTGAAGGGTTGGTCTGGGAATGTTCCGAGTGTAATGCCAATATCCACCGAAAAGGTTACTGTATATCCCACTAAAGAAGACAAAAGTGTCTCTGACTTGAATTCTGATTTAAGGTTGAAGTCTTAAGGTTTTCAAAAATGGATAGAGAGAGATGGCTGAGCAGCAAATTCTACATTTCAGTGACGAGAGCTTCCATTGATGTTCAAGGAAGAGTAGAAGAAGGATGGTCCCTTGGTTTTTTGCTTAGTGTGTGAGGACCCAGTGCTTGGCCCAAAGCTACACTTGCTACACTTGTAAACAATGTCTCTCTTTTTTTTTGTTTTTTTGTTTTTTTGTTTTTTTGTTTTGTTTTTTTATTTCTTTGCAAACAATGTCTATTTGAATCTATTTTATGTTTGTTTGGTGTGTACACAATCTCGGCCATCTCTCTGTCTTAATTTTGACTCAGGTAAGAAGTACATGCATGTAACTAATGGTGGTCTCACATGAACGATTCTACACACTTGCAACACAAAAACCTCTTATCTTGTTTCTCATAATTTCAACGAAATAATGGAAAATTGGGTAAAAGAGGGATTGAGGACATTTTAGCTAACTCTTTAATAAAAGGGAGAAGGTGAATTTGACCCAAAAAAAAAACAAGGAACGCATGGGAGCTGCAAAAATGTCCTCTATGACCAAAAATCAAACGAAACGACTAAGTTTCTTGGAAACCGGTGTGGTGTTTGCCAAAGAGGTTCTATTGCCCAAGTTAGAGTTTGAGAAATACAGGAGTTGAAGTTATGTGACTTCAAATCATGTAACTCAAATAGTTGAAGGCTTTTTGGATATATCATATATGTGTCTTGTCTTATCATAAACTGTCAATTATCATGGATATATAATCTATTTATAGTAAATTTTGAAGTAACTTATGTTAGAGAAGAAATATATGCCGGCAGGTTTCGCAAGTTAACTTTGGATGTCATTTGACGCTATTAATTGGATTCAAACGACTCTAATGTTTTGTTAGGTGAAGTTAATGTCTCTAGTTTGATTCTACATGATTTGAAGTAAATTGGACTGATAAAGAACTTGTGATAATTTTTCAAGTGAACCTCGTTGATGGAACCATGTTTGGCAGATTTGTAGTTGTTTTTGCGAACTAAATAATTATACTAGAAAAAAATGTTAAACATGGATATCTTCTTGTATACACAATCTTGGTCACCACCTCTTCGCCTCAAGTCATCAGCATATCAACTAATGAAAGCCAAGACATTGGTGAATGCCAAAGGTACGGTTAGCAACTAGACAAAGACTAAACAAAAGCTTTGGGTTGCGACTAGTGGCGGAGCCAGGAATCTTACCACAAGGGGTCTTAGTGTAAAAGTCCAAATAAAAATTTAGGATGGAAAAACATATTGAAAATGAAATCATAGTACTTTCATTCATAATTCATAACGGAAACAATATTACAAGCTATAATGGTCCACGATGAGGTTTCATATTTTGAAAACGAAGCATTATAGCTTCATTTTCAATACAAGCACAAATATATCTCTCAATATAAACAAGCAAGCTATTACTCAACCATTGATCTCCCATTTTGTTCATAAGTGGACCCTTAACAATATTCATGACAGAAAAAGCTCTCTATACTGAAGCAGTTGCAACCGGTAAAACTGAAGACAATGTAATGAGCAAATACACATAATTGAATACTTGATGCATCCTTGTTTCCTTTATTTTTTTTTTGCAAGATCACCAATCCCTTCCAATTGAGAGAAATCACTACTGGAACGCACATAATGGATATAAATCTCAAGTTGATCTTCATCCGAAAAGTCTTGAGGATAAAATTGAGTAAGACGAAGTAACTTTAATTTATCAAAAGCTACAAATGAATCTTTCGGAGTCAAACATGCCAAACAAATAAGCAATTCGGTATTTACCTTATTAAATCGATCCTCTAACTCCGTAATTTGCTCATCAATGACATAAATAAAGAGATTCACACAATAATGATGACGATTTGTCTTTATTGGAGCATTACGCCTTGACCTCTCTGGAAGTATAAATGCCTCTTCCATGTTAGGAACATCAATATGATGCTTCTCACAAAAAGAAGATACTTCATTAACCAATGCATTGAACCCATTATTCCTCATCCAATGTAGCTTTTCCTTGCATGATTTCACTAAAGCCATTGCATTCACAATTTCTTGATCTTTCCTTTGCAATACTTGTGACAAATCATTTGTGAGTCCTAGTATGGCTTTTATCAAGAAAAAGTGGAACAAAAACTTAAAAGTACGTATTTCTCTCATTAACTTATTTGCTTCACCCGCACTTTCATTGGGATTATCATCAATAACCATTTGAAGCACATGAATCACGGATGAAAACATAGAAATGATGCTAATCAAGGTACCATAGTGTAAGTTCCATCATGTGTCACCATCACATTTGAGATTTGTTTCTTGATTTAAGCCTTGCCCCGTTATAAGATAATTATTTTGAAAAGCTATAACAAGCTCTTCTTGGAGTTGTCCTCTAAGTAAATCATGCCGCTTACAAGATGCTCCAACATGATTAACCACACTATTAGCCGTTGCAAAAAAAAAAAGAGGCAATGTCTATTCTTCTTTGCTACGGCAACAAGAGCTAGTTGGAATTGACGAGCAAAGCAATGAACATAATATGCACAAGGTTGTTCTCTCAATATCTTTGTTTTAAGGCCATTCAACTCACCTCTCATATTACTAGCACCATCATAACCTTGTCCTCGTAGCTTGGAAAGGCTCAAACCGTTGCGAGAAACGAATGTATTAATAGCATCCTTTAGTGAACTTGAAGTAGTGTCAGTAACATGTTGGATACCCATAAATATTTCAATTACATGCCCTTTGTTATCCACATAACGCAACACCATAGCCATTTGCTCTTTCACCGACACATTACGTGCTTCATCCACCAATATTGAAAAGAATCTATCTTTTAGACCATCCATGACAACATCAAGTGTTTCAAGGGCACATGAATTCACAATTTCTTTTTGAATGCATGGAGCTAGTAATTTGAGATTCCCCGGAGCATTTTCCATCACAACTTCTTTAACTTTATCATCATTATTTGCAAGAAATTGCAATAACTCCAAGTAATTTCCCCTATTGCTTGAAGTGACACTTTCATCATGGCCACGAAAAGCAAGACCTTGTTGCAATAAAACCTTAGTGCACTTGATTGATGCATTCAAGCATGTGCAATAAACCTTACAAGCTTGGTCTGAGTGTTTGCTCACTGCCATTTCGATATGTGTATTTTGATTCATCAACTTTGTAGCAGCTTTTCTAGCCTTATTATGAACACTCCCAACCGGTCCAACATGCATCTTAAATCTTTCTTTCCATTTCTTCCAATTCTTAAATCCATCTCCAGTGAAAGCTTCACTACCCACTTGTTCAAAATTGGTTTTAAAGAGATAGCAATAGAGACAAAATGCCCGCATCTTTAGATATACTATACTCCAACCAATCAAACTCAAACCATTGGGGGATGAAGTGTCGATTAATTCCTGACATATTAGTTATTGGGAAATTATGACATCTAGGTTGACAAGGTCCTTTTTGTAGATATGATCTTCAGACCTCATCTCTCATAGTAGCATCATAATCTATCATTCGAGTTCTTAATCCCGAGTACGCTTGAAGATTACCCAAAACACCATCTAACTGACTTTCTCTTGAACTTGGAGTTCTTGAACTACCAATATTATTTGAACTATAAACATTAGCCGAACTACCCAAACCCGATGATGACTTTCTCTTAAAAAACCGTTCCATAATAATTCTACATATACAAAATAATCAAAATAAATACTCACAATATAAACAAACCATCAACATAATCAAAATACATATGAATTGGATTTCAATTAAATTAAATATATTCTTGTTTGGGCCTAAAATTTGGCACACCCAGTCCAAAAGACCAAAGCTCATGTTAATCCTGGGCAGCCACCAGCATTCTTTGAAATTGGGCCAAAATCTTGCAAACCCAGCCCAAAATCAAGGAACCCAGAAAATCCAAAAGGGCAAACCAAGACTGATCAGATTAGCAAGAAAAGATTGGGCTTCAAAAAACCCAGCTTTTTGAAGAAACCCACCACTAATGCAGATCATATTAAAAATATCACAGGATTAATCAAAGCTTATTTTTCAGGAGCCCACGTGACTACCAAAAATAGAAAAGTCAACAAACTCAACTGAGTTGATTGGGAGTTAATTAAAACAGGGAAGTAGCTGGCAAACTGGGAAGGGACATCTCTGGATAATCGATCAAAATCCTCTCTTAAATGTATATATATACATATATTCAGAGATATTTTCTCTATTCCAAATAGGGTGATTGTCCCAAGAGATAAGCAGACCTTGTTATTTAAAGAAGAAGATAAACAGAAGGGCAGATAGTTGTTCAAACAGGAAATCAAGCTAACCATCACAGTTTGAGATCTCACAAGGGCAGTTGGGATTAGAAAAGAGTTAGGTTCTCTTTCAAAAAGCAGAGAAGTGACTAGTGAGAGCTCAACTGCCAAAAATTAGATAAAATTCCTTTTTATTGTGTTTTAAAATTAAAAAGATATTTTTTAGAAAATTGCCGCCCATTATTAAAAAATTACCCTGCTCCAGAAATTTTTTTTCTATAAATAGAAGAGAGGGTGAACAGGTTCAAAAAACACTCAATTCAACAACAATCAATCAAAAACGATCAAACAAACAAACAACTCAAAAATCAACCAAAAAGCCCACTTGAATTCCAAGTGAAACCAGCTTCAGATCAGAATTCCCAAGGTTTAGACTTAGAAAAAAGTCAATCAAAACGAGATTTCTCTCGTTACAAATTTGGTTCAGCAAAGAATCAAGACATGTAGAGCTTGAGCTTTTCCCAAGCATGAAAACCTCAACAAATTTCACAATGCAATCTCTAGCCCACTGAAATCCTCGAGAATACCCACTTATGCCCTTGTAGACTGAAGAAACCGCAGTTCTGCCCACTCAAAAGCATCACAAAAGCTTGAAGTACATTAAAGCTCTGCCAGAATTGACCTTTTGTATTGATTTACAACTGAAGCTTAGCAGTTGAAGTTGTCAACAGTCCAGTCCAGCCTAGGCATTTCCAGCCCAGCTAGGATTAGAGCCTCCTAATCCAGACAGAAATGAATTTCCAGCTGTCCTTTCATCTATCTAACATGAATATTTATTTTTATAGTTCTGTAAAATGCAGATCTGCCCGAGACAGTTTGCATTCCATCAACCATTCTGGCCAAAACAACCTCTTTATACTGAGATAAATTGTTAAAGTCCTCACCAATCTGAGGCAAGAAAAGAACTTACTTGGGAGATATTCCTCACCTAAATTCACAATCGTTTGTTTGCAGAAATCAGTAACTTGGGGCGCAAGTTATCCATTCTAAACTAAGTCTGTTAGAATCTTCATTGCTAGCAGTGACACGCTCGCACACCAAAGAAAGCTGACTTGTTGACCAGTCAATGGTTCACAAGGCAGTAGGGAACTTTGCCCTTCCACCACAGGAGTAAACGCAAAACGGGTGAACAATTCTACATATAAAAAATAATGAAAATAAAAACTCACAATATAAACAAACCATCAATATAATCAAAATAAATATGAATTGAATTTCAATTAAATTAAATATATTCTACATATACAAAATAATAAAAATAAAAACTCACAATATAATCAAACCACCAATATAAACAAAATAAATATGAATTAGGTTTCAATTAAATTAAATATATCATACATAGTAACATAGGGTTTAGAACTTACTTGAATTGTGAAATTTCACAATAACAATGAGCAAATACAAAGTAGCTAGCGGCACCACCACAGCGACGACGACGGCAGCACAAAGGCACCTCAATGGCGGCAGCAAGGGAGGAGATGGAGTTGAGGGTTTTTTTTGGGGGGGGGGGGATTGAGTTGGGAACTTAGGGTTGAAGGAGGAGAAAACAAAAGAAAATTAGGGGTTTTGGAAATAAGGAATCGGGTATGTGGAGAAGCAATGGCTGGAGGATATGTTGGTCATTATTTTTTTTCTTCAGACTTGGCCCAAAACAAAGTCGTTTTGGCCAGGTCATTTAAAAAAAATTTCCTGGGGCAAAACGACGTCGTTTTGCCCAGGTTGTTTTGAAAACAAAACTCGCGTGCCAGCTAGCCTTCTTCTTCTTCAGCCTGCGAACCTTCATTCTTCTTTCAGACATTTCGTCGACCACTTGGTGTGCAGCTCCAAGAGGTCGCACTAGCAACTCCAAGAGACCTCTAAGCTTTTTTCCATGGCTTCCAAGAGGTCGTGCAACCCCATTGACCCCAATGTGGCTCTGCCTCTGGCTACGACATGTCTCCTAAAATTTCAGTTCTATATTGCATCAGAATATATTACTAAAAGAAACTGATGTCAAATCCCACAAAATCTGTATAACTGAGGTGTGTATCATCTCTAGCAAGGCTCATATATAAGTTCCCGACATCTTTTGAGGCGTCGCTCATTTGCGCCATAGATTTTGTTGGCTATGAATGAAAAAAAAAAAAAACCCAAGAATTCTGAAATGGATTAGACGAAGAAACACACTCATAGAAAAGAAGGCTATCAAAAGCGAAACTCATAACTAAACCATCTAAAGGTTCTTCACAATAACCATTGCATGGTATTTCAAAAGTTTGGTCCAAGTGACAAAATGCTTGTAAGTTCTCGATGTGGTAGTCCAAGCAGAGGCGGAGCCAAAGTGGGGTCAATGGGGTCGCATGACCTCTTGGAAGCCATGGAAATAAGCTTAGAGGTCCCCTGGAGCTGTTAGTGTGACCTTTTGGAGCTGTACACCAAGTGGTCGACGAAATGTCTGAAAGAAAAAGAAAGGTTCGCAGGCTGAAGAAGAAGAAGGCTGGCTGGCTGGCGAGTTTTGTTTTTAAAACAACCTGAGCAAAACGACGTCGTTTTGGGCCAGGTCTGAAGAAAAAAATTAATGACCAGCGTATCCTCTAGCCATTGCTTCTCTACAGACCTGATTCCTCCTTTCCAAAACCCAAAATTTTCTTTTGTTTTCTCCTCTTCCAACCCTAAGAGCATCTCCACCCACAAGGGCTAAGTCTAAGGCAAGGGCAAGCAAGGGCTGCCACTATTCACGTGAATAGTGTCAGCCTTTGCATTTGTGGTTCCACCCATGAGGGCAAAGTCTAGGGCAAGTCTAAGGTAATTACTATTCATTGTACTTTATTTCCTATTTGTTTATACTTTAAACTATTAATTTTGATAAGTTTTTTAGATTATATTTTCGGTTGTCATGTGTCACTATTTATTATAAAATTTTCATTTAAAATTTAAGATAACATTTTTCGAATAAAATTTTCAAATAAAATTTTTGGATAAAATTTTTCGAATAACATTTTTGGTTTTGCCTTGACTAATCTATTAAAAAAAAGAAATTGGAAATGCAAGAAATATATATATAAAAAAAGACATTAAATTGAATAAAACGGATTTTTATTTTTTTTTTTACCTCGTTGCCAAGATTTTGATGTGGAAAGTGAAAAATATTGGAAGGAGATGAGTTTTTATGAAGATTTGGTGTAGAAAGTGAATAAAATGGTTAGGTATTTATAGGGAAAAAATACATAATTTTTTGGTATTTAAAAAAAAAATTCAGAATTTTTCAGAATTTTTTCGAATTTTTTTGGCCAAAAAAAAAAAAAAAAAAAAAAACAGTTTCGGGCTCCCTCTGGCAGCCTTTCCCCCAGGCTGGTCCATGCGCTGGAGGTGCTCTAAGTTCCCAACTCAATCCCCCCCTTCAACTCCATCTCCTTCCTTACTGCCGCCATTGAGGTGCCTTTGTGCTGCTGTCGTCATCGCTGTGGTGGTGCCGCCAGCTACTCTCTTTGTATTTGCTCATTGTTATTGTGAAATTTCACAATTCAAGTAAGTTCTAAACCGTATGTTACTATGTATGATATAATTAATTTAATTGAAACCTAATTCATATTTATTTTGATTATATTGGTGGTTTGATTATATTGTGAGTTTTTATTTTCATTATTTTGTATATGTAGAATATATTTAATTTAATTGAAATTCAATTCATATTTATTTTGATTATATTGATGGTTTGTTTATATTGTGAGTTTTTATTTTCATTATTTTGTATATGTAGAATATATTTAATTTAATTGAAATCCAATTCATATATATTTTGATTATGTTGATGGTTTGTTTATATAAGTATTTATTTTGATTATTTTGTATATGTAGAATTATTATGGAACGGTTTTTTAAGAGAAAGTCATCATCGAGTTCGAGTAGTTCGGCTAATGTTGATAGTTCAAATAATGTTGGTAGTTCAAGAACTCAAAGTTCAAGAGAAAGTCAGTTAGATGATGTTTTGGGTAATCTTCACCCTGGATTAAGAACTCGAATGATAGATTATGATGCTAATA